CTTGATCATGGTATCTCTTCACAGTAATAAAACAGTAACTAAGACAGAAGTTGGTACCAGGCACTGGAGTATTGCTGTGAAAGGCCTGACCATGCTATTGTGTGGAGGAATATGGAAAACTTTGGGGCTTTGAACTAGAAAAGCAATTGAAAGCTTTAAGCAGGGCTTGATGGGCCATCCTAGTAGAAACTTGGAAGACATTAATGCTGAGGGTGATTTGGAATATACAGGCACTGCTCAAGATGTTTCTGAGGGGACGAATATTATCAGGTAGCCTATAGACCATTCTTGTGATATTTTGGCAAAGAATGTGACTACATTTTGCCCTTGGCTGAAAAAAAAAATCTGTCTGAGGCTAAATTGAAGAATTTTGAATTAGTGCCATTGGTAGAGGAGATTTTAAGACAGGCTAGATTTTAAGACTGTGTCACATGACTATTGGTGTTCACTTTTTAACTTTTTATTGATTCTTCATGAATTTCACATCATGAACCTCAGGCCCACTCATCTTCCTGTCCCTTCATATCTTCCCTGTGCCTTTGCAAGCTCCCCCAAAAGGAAACAAAAAAAATAAATAAATAAAATCAAACAAAAAACATCTCTCCGTGGAAGCTGTGGTATCACGGTGGGTTTGTCCAAACAGCTTTACTCGCAAATGTCCATTACAATGGATCATTGATCTTGTTTGAGTCCTCTGGTTTCTGCTACGGTATTGTCACCGGCCAGCCGTGACACCTGAATACCACCTGAGAGAGGGCTGGGAGAGAGAGAGACAGGGCAACAAAGAGGAGGACACCAAGTCTACATTCTGATCCAGGTGTCAATTTAATGGATGTCAGGTTAACACTTAAGTAGGCAAAAAAGTACAAGCAGTTTCTCACGTAGGAGCTTTACTTGGTCAAAACATAGGAGAGCTCACTCAAGGTTACACAGAGCCTGCTGTCTGGTTACTATGGTTGCCCAGAGTTTCTCAGGGTCAGAGCGGTCCACTGTAGGACCACCAAGGTCGGTTTATGAGAAACTGGACTTTGGAAAATAGCCAAAGCCAAGAGGCCGAATTCCACTGCTCAGATGCCATTAACTCCAAATTTGCCATTAACTCCAAAAAGGCTGCCATACGGTATCAATACTGGACACCTCCGAGATATCCCTTTTTTGCCATGGAGACTGCAGGGTTGGATCTACAGGACCAGCCTGTACAGAACTTCATGTGCTCCAGCAGTTCATAGATGAGGTAGTTGCAGGAGTGTGCCGACTCAGTGCCCTGGATCTGGGCCTGGGTTGGTTAGCCTACTAGCTCTCCTTTGCCTGAACGGCCAGGGCCAACCCTCCCTCTTTGCAAGCAAGGGGTGGGGCCAGCTCTCCCTCTCTTGGGCTCTCAAAGACAGCTCTTGCAGATAAACAATGAAAGGAGAAGTGGGGCAAAGAGAAGTACAAAATGTACAGTTTGAAGAGAAACAGAACACCAAAAAAATGTAGTCAAATCTTGTGCTCAAGAAGATGCGACATTTAAAGAAAAGCCTGCTGCTAGATGGAATAAAAGGAGTGGTACTCTCATGGCAAGACCTCAGGAGGTAATCCTTCAGCCTGTGAAAATAAAGGCCCAAGGGCTTTCCTAGGTCTCAGACAACAGAACATTTATGGAAATGTCATTCAAGGATGTGGTCAGGTTCTAGCCCCAACAAGCAGAAGAACTCAGCAGCTCTGGCCATGTGGTTCTGGATTTAGAGTCAAGAAAGATACAATAAAAGGATTATGAAATCTTCCTGTATGGTAATGAAAAGCTACTGATGCTGGCCACAAGGTAGGAATGTCCAGGCCTGGAGAGGCTGTGGTGTGAAGCTGTGAAGGTAAAGCCTGGATTAGGTTGGAGACTCAAAGACATTGGAAATGACAGAACCTTGGGATACCTGTCCAGGAGTGCTTCAGACAGGGTGGGGACCAGCCTAAAAGAGAGAAAATTGTGTTGCAGTCAACAAAGCTGGGAGGAATTGGATATCTGACAGAGCGTTGACGCTGGACAGAGATATAGATGTGGAGCTTGTCCTTCTGGATTTTGTTGTTGCTTTGGACCAGTATTTGCTCACTATGCTCTCTCTCCATCCTTTTGGAATGTATATTCTGTGCCATAGTCCATTGGAAATGATTTGTTTTTTTTATTTTGATTTTATAGGGGTTCTGTTTTATAAGGGGTTATATCCAGATATTGCCATGAGTCTCAGGGGGACTTTGGACTTTTAAACAGGAATGAGACTGAATGCATTTTGCATTATGATATGACCACAAGCTTATGGGGGCCAGGAAGTGGAATGTGGTGGTTTGAATGAGAATGGTCCCCATAGGCCCATATGTTGGGTCCCCAGTTAGTGTTAACTATTGGGAAGGAATAGGAGGTGTAGCCTCATTGAACTAGGTGTGGCCTTGTTGGAGGAGGTAGTGTCATTGGGAGTAGGCTTTGAGGTTTCAAGCCCATTCCAGTTCCAGTGTCTGTGTCTCTGTCTGTCTTTCTCTCTCTCTCTCTCTCTCTCTCTCTCTCTCTCTCTCTCTCTGCCTGATGACTGGATCAAGATATAAATCTCTCAAAGATTATAAGGGAGTCCCCAGGTAAATGCTTTCTTTTCTAGGAGTTGCTTTGGCCATGGTGTGGCTTCACAGCAATAGAACAGTAACTAAGACATTAACCTTTCGCTTATTTATTCTGATTTTTGTTTCTGTGTTTTTGTGTGGGGGAGGGAATTCCTTGTGTTTCTTGCTTTGTTTTTGTTTCTTTTTACTGAAAAAAAAAATGTATGCACTATATTCTGATCATGGTTTTCCTTCCCCAACTCCTCCCAGATCCTCTCTGCCTCTTTCCCACCCACCCAACTCCATGCCCTTTTATCTCTCTCTCTTTTTAGAAATCAGAAAAATAAGCAAACAAAAAAAAAACTCAAACAAATGACTGTTAAAACACACACACACACATGCACACGTGCGCGTACGCATCCACACACACAATAAGCACACATGCAAAACAAAACCCATAAGAATACAAAATCAGAAACCATAATATTTAAGCACAAGACCAAGAAATAAAAGTGAAAACAAAGCAATAGGAGACAAAAACTCTCCAAAATACTACTGAGTTCATTTTGTGATGGCTATCTACTTCTTGGCACAGCTCCTATCCTTACGTGTGGTTTACACACTCAGTGAGACTCCAGTGGAGAAAGCTAATTTTTCCTCTAAGTGGATGCCAATTGGGAATAGCTTTTTGTTTAGGAATGGCAGCCCATGATTTGTCTGTTTGTTTTTCTTTTTATTATTATTATTTTTTATTTCTTGGAGGGAGGGAGAGAAAGAGAGACAGAGGGAGGGGGGATAGGAAGTTTAGAGGAGAACAGAAAATGTAGGAAGAAAAAAAGTGGCCATGTAAGTCATAGCATCTGAGTGGAGCATCTGGTGCTCCAGAGACTAAGCACCACTGATTCTGGAGTCTGGCAGTCTACATAAGAGGGGTTCAAGAGGGGCAGGGCATTTGGATGGCAGAGAAAGTCCGCAGGGAAGGCTCCAGTAGGAAGAAGCTAGAGATGGCAGGAAGAGAGGGCTGGTAGAATACAATCCAAGAGGAAGAGACGGAGTGTGGGGGAGTACAGGACCCTTGAAGTCCATAGGAAGGGTGAGAGGTACCACATGTGACCCCAAGAGTTTGCCTCCAAGTAAAAAGAAATTTTGTGGAAAGTAAAAGAAAATAAACATAGAAGAGAAAATTTCAGGACTAAAAGGTAGGAAATGTTAGTTGAGGCTTCAGCTGGCAAAGTCTTACCGAACACCTGTGAAATAAGTGGATAACTCAGCAGAGAGCATACAGTGAGCACTAGGACCCAAGAGGAGGAGCAGGGACTTCTACAGGCTGTCACAGTCTCACCAGCTTGTAAGTGGTGAGATCTGGATATTTTTCAGATTGGGTTTATCTATAGGGACAATTGAGGTTAAAAAAAAATATTAAGCTTAATTTGCCAGTAAATCTAAGTCAAAGCCATTTTGCTTCAGTACTGAACAAGGAAGACATGCACACCAATAGTAGATGATGAGAAACCATGACACAGGACAGGTAGGTAGCTGTTTACAATCAGACGTGATGATTGTTCATGCCTTTTGCTTCCCCGTCTACCTACCACCCTTTACAGATGACCCTGCTCTGGAAGCAGGGTCTCGATCTGACTGTGTATAACTACGCGGTGGCTCAGCACCTCGAGGGCAAAGCCAAAATATGCTGAGTCGGGACATGAAGCCATGGAGGAGGGTCATCATCCATGGGCCCCGGGGCAGGGAACTGCTTCCAAAGCCAGAGCGATGTTCTCCTCCAACCTGGGAACCTAGGGGTTTGTTTTGGGAGCCTATGCATAGTGACAGCATGCTTAGTTTAAGGGCATAACCTTAAATGAAAATACACTGGGCACATTTGGAGGGGATGTTCTTAGCTCAGAGTCATGGAGTGAGCATGTAGAAGATTGAACTGATAGACAAAGGTGCCTCTGAGCGTCCTCGGCTTGCACCATTAAGTATCAGATGAAAGTAAAGGAGGCTCTGAAGGTGGGTGAATACAGCAGCGTGCTCCTGAAGATGCCTGCCCTCTTACGGTGCGTAACTGCCTCGACAGCAGCCTTTCCACCACAGTGTACGGATGCAGGAAACCCTGGAGGGTTGCTGTCTAATGCAGCTCCAAGTTAGCAATCAGGCCTCATTTCCTCCAGCTGGGTAAGAAAGGTTGCATGGCTGGGCCACTCAAAACTGAATTAAGTTCTAATTGAATTCATTCACGCTTATCCTATACATTGCATTCTCGATATAATGTGTTCATTTGCATATGTTCATGACACAAGATCTCGGTTTTCTAAGAAAAATATCCTTTACCTGTTTTTCTTAGGACATTGAGGATTTTCCGAATTCATCCAGTGTAGTCACATTTAATTTCTACCTCTATCCCCTAAAACGCTACATTAATACCTGTTTTACAGGTGTGAAAATGAAACCAAGTTCAAAACAGAAGACCTCCACTGGGCTTACAGCTTCTGCCCCACCCCATACTCCTGGACGGCACTCCTGGGCCTGGTTTTGTATCTCGTTTTCTTTGCACCTGGTAAGCCATGGGTTGATATTTTTGATTGGTGTTGTCCCCTCTTGGAAGAGGCAGGCTACTGTATTTCATTCCATGGTGATTTTTACTGTAGATTTAACTGTTTACTTCTCAGGAATGGGACCGATGCCCTGGACAGTGAACTCTGAAATCTATCCTCTCTGGGCAAGAAGTACAGGAAATGCATGCTCAGCTGGAATAAACTGGATTTTCAATGTTCTGGTTTCACTGACCTTTTTACACACTGCAGAGTATCTTACATACTATGGTAAGAGCATTTTTTTCCAATGTAGTTTTGTTGTTATTTTCAATACTCTATCCTTAGATACCCTGTAATTCTTTTTTAATTTATTATTATTATTATTATTATTATTATTATTATTATTATTAATTGAAATTTATTTACTTTGTATCCAGGCCAGAACCCCCTCCCTCATCTCTTCCCAGTCCCATCCCCACTCCCTCTTTTTCCCTTATGTGCCTCCCCTAGTCCACTGATAGGGGAGGTCCTCCTCCTCTACTATCTGACAGTAGCCTATCAGGTCTCATCAGGACTGGCTGCATCATCTATCTCTGTGGCCTGTCAAGGTTGCCCCCATCCTGGGGGAGGTGTTCAAAGAGCCAGAGGGTACAGGAGTTCAACAGGGAGACCAACAGAGCCAAAAAAAATCTGGGTCCAGGGTAGCCTGCAGAGACTGTTGCTTCAACCAAGGACCATGCATGTTGAGGACCTAGAACCCCTGCATAGATGTCACCCATAGACAGCCCAGTCTCCATGTGGGTTCCCTAGTAAGAGAAGCAGGGTCTTCTCTGACATGGACTCATTGGCCAGCTCTTTGATCACCCTGTAACTTGTAGCAGAGACTGTGTCCTTATATTTTATCTCTTGATGAGTATCCCTGCACAGCTTTCACCATCTCCAGGGGTTCTGGGAAGTGAGTTCTCTTTTCCTCAGCCTCTTGTCTCCAAGTACACTCACGGTTCTTCTAACCCTGAACACCACCCATACCTGCCAGGATGGAAATCCTCACAGCACAGCTGTCAGTTTACCCAGGAAGCAAACAGAAAATAGTAAGATGATGAAGACAGGGCTGATGAGATGTCCTGGAGAATCAGTGTAAGCCTGAGAGGAACTTACCCATTTAGGATACCATGCCAGCCACTGAATTATCTGTCTCAGCCAGGACACACATTCTGTCATCTTGAGGCCCAGCACTTATTACTTCCAGACCCAGGGACATGACAATGTCCTCCAAGCAAAGATGTGTTAAGGAAAACAGTGGTGGGTAATGGCTCATTACGGAAGTCCTTTGTGAAGCTACCTCAAACCTGCATTTAGTAAAGTGAAAAGATCTTTTTCTCGATTTTTGTCCTTGTTGACGCCCCCCCCCACACACACACACACACGAAGTTGCGTTGTTTACATGATCTTTTAAGTTGTGGTGACTTTTTTAAGTTGTGATCATTTTTAAAGATGAAATGTAAAGCCATTGTACTCATGTCTCCCTAAGCCCACGTGGTGTATGTGAAATGCATTCTGTGTCTGGTCCCGTGTTGCCTCCTTACCTGACCTATCCCTATCCCATGCTCTGGGCATGTTTACTATCTGCCCCCACATGTACCATGTAGCAGAAAGCCGTAACAAGCCAGGCTTGTGCTTCATTCATCACTGTGCTCTGACTCTTTCCAAGAGACTGGGAGGGCAAGCATCCTGTTCACCTGTGTTAGAATGACAGCTGTGAAGAAGTATACACATCTGTTTCCGCTGTCTTCGGGACCCTCTGACATGGCATGGCATTAGTTAATACTAGGAAGCCAAGGGTCCGCTATCTTCTCTCATTAACCACTGGGAACGTCTACAACAGCAGTCCTCAGCCTGTGCTTTGTGACCATCAGAAAACACACTCCCGACGGTCTTGTGAACCCCCAACCACAAACTTTCATTGCTACTTCGTAACTGTAATTTTGCTACTGGGCAGTGTCTCGGTTCGCGAGACCATCAGAAATGCATTTTCCAATGGTTACACAGGTTGAGAATGACAGATCTAGGATAGAAACATTTGATTTCTTGGGAAGGAATTTATAAGCTGATGGTGTGTTTAGGACACTCAGCTTTGCTCCTTTTAACAGCTAAAAATGTTTCAATAAACTCACAAACTTGTTTTCACAATATGATGATATATATTCCTTGTCATTGCTGATTAATTAAGAATGCTTAATTACTTGAAGGTCTCTATGTATAATAACAGCCCAAGAAGAACTTTATATAGAGACTTGGGTAATAAAATCCATGCAGCAAAACTCGGGCTAGCAGAGTGCTCTTTGGGGATGAGATGAGGTAGGAGGCATCAGAGGGGACCAGACTAGCTCAGTGGTTTTGCGTAGCATGTATTTCCGTGCACCACATGGGCTTATGGAGATATGAGAGCAAATCTGTACTGTCAGAGACAGCCTGCGCAGCAGAACTCGGTTTAGGGAGGGCCTGCGTCTGCTTTTGGCGGAAGTGTGCAGGGAGAGGCCCTGCTTTCCTCCTGTCAGTATACTGGTTTCCTAATTCTGCTAACAGTGGGGACGCGTGACCAGTCTGGTTAGACTTTTGGGCTCCATTCTCTGAGAAGGGCTGCCTCATCCGCCTGACGTAACTACAGCCCTCGGTATAGACAGGTTCTTGTGGGATCCCTCTGTTGCAGAACTGGAGCTTAGTGCTGTTCATTCTAAAACAGCGGCTCTCAACTTTTCCTAATGCAGCAACCCCTTAATACAGTTTCTCATGTTGTGCTGACCCCATCCACAAAATTATTTTTGTTGCCACTTCATAACTGTAATTTTGCTAGTTATTAATTGTAATATAAATATCTGATATGGGGGATATCTGATACACGACCCCTGCAGAGGGTCATTTGCACCCCAAAGGGATTGCAACCCGCTGGTTGAGAAACGCTGTTGTAAAATATTGCAGCACCAACACTCAGCTTCCAGTGCTACCAGGGACTACCACCTTTGCCCCGTCAGTCCGTAGTAAGGATTCCTGCAGAACACAGGGCTTCCTTGCTCTCTTATTCCTTCTTCTTCTTTTTCTTCTTCTCCTTCTCCTCCTCCTCTTCTTCCTCCCCCTTCTTCTTGTTTTGGTTGTTGGTTTTGTTGTTCTTGTTGTTTGGGTTTTGGTTTAGTTTGGTTTGGTTTTGGTTTTTACCTTTTTATTCTCTTTTTAAAGCCAAAATTCTTAAAATTTCTAGGGCTGGCCTTTCGGTAACACCCTTGTCATGAAAGCACCCAGTTTATAAGTTGTGCTAATCTTACTTGATCTTGAACAGCAGCCTATCTCTAGTCATTCGCTGGAACTGGGGGAAATTACCATATTTTATTATTTGTTTAGTTTACCAAGTGTATGTGGGAGCATGCCACAGTACATGTGAGGTCAGAGGACCTTGTGGAGCTGCCTCTCCCCACCTGTGCCTGTGTTCCAAGGATCCAACTGAGATCCACAGGCTTTTGCAGCGAGTGCTGGCCCTGTTGTTAAATTTACAAGCAGGAAATTGAAATGCCAAATTCTGATGTGCACGTAGCACATTGTTTCTATTTTTCATGATATAACAAAACAGGGATTTTCCACCCCTCCCCTACACAGATCAGGAAACCAAGGTCAAGAGGACTTGAGTAACTCACACAAGGTCCAGCTCTTTGGGTCACTGTTTGCTGTTTGCTCTTTAGGCTCACAGTCCCCAAAGTCTGCAGCAGAATTTCTTACTATGCTGGGCATCCCAGGTGACCTACTGTTATATCCTCATTATTTTTTGACCATATACCACTTAAAATTTTAGTTAGTGTGTTTAATATAAGCAAAACTGTTTACAATCAGGGCTATATTATCTATGGACTCACACACCCCAGTACTTTAAAATATTTCTTCTACTAAAACTGGAAATTATATTCTAAAGGATAAACCATCCAGGAAATATGTAGGTAACCACAGGTGCCACCATGTGTCGTTCATTTCGGTTTGTTGTACTGACACCGAGGACCAGCAGGTGGTACTCGCACCTCTGTGGGCTCTCTCGCTGTACACACAGGTGCCATCCTACAGCAGAGCAGGATCCTCTGGCCTCATAAAGCTTCCGCTCTGCTGACAATTTGATATACTTGCAGTGTGTCAGTTGAAACATACTGTGAGGGCAGAAATGCTACGTTGGGTTCTAAGGACAAAGATGCCTGGTAGGGGACAGTTGCAACAAAAGTGGCAGGGAATGGGTCTTAAACTACAAGCATCAGGGATGCTGAGAAGTGTGCATCTATCGGATGTGTTGCTTTAAGATTTACTTATTGTTATTGTATGTGCATGAGTATTTGCCTGCGTGTATGTCTGTGCACTACATGTGTGCCTGGTGTCCTCAGAGGTCCAAGTGTCAGGTCCCCTGGAACTAGAGTTACAGACAGTTGTGAGGCACCACATGGGTGCTGGGAACTAAACCCTGATCCTCTGCTAGAGCAGCCAGTGGTCTTAACCACTGAGCCATCCCTGGTGGCTCAGTGTTTTAAAGGCAGATCCAATGGGATTCCCTAAGAGATTGGCTACTGAGAAAGAAATGTAAGGGAAAGGTCAGGTTGACCTCCACTCATGAGCATCAGAAACAGGAAGAAGAGAACTGCCATGAGCTCTGTCAAGTCAGTAACTCAACATCATCATCAATGTACCTGATCCTGGAAATCAGGATTTCTCCAGACCTTCCATGCTTCTGAGTAGAAGAGACAGACCTGTACGTGTGCATGGTAACAGGACTCCTTGGTTATTACACTCATGAAAGTACTGAGAAAACGGCTGGGAGAGAGATCCCTCAGCCTGAGATCTGAGGGTAACCTCTGAGAAGAGCTGACACCTGAGCCTGTCCTGTTGTTTTCCTATGCCATGGTTTGAGTCTTGAAATATTAATTGCATTCTATTCACAGGACTGAAACAACCAGGTAAGTCAGGTTGGCCGACATCATTTGCTTGCATTTCAAATTGTAGTTACGTTCGAGTAAAATTCAAGACTCTCCCATTTAAACCCACCCAGCGCTGCTCACTGTGTTCCTTTCCCGCCGCAGGGGCGTTCTTCCTCTACGCTGGATTTGCAGCTGTGGGGCTGCTGTTTGTCTATGGCTGCCTTCCTGAGACGAAAGGGAAAAAGTTAGAGGAAATCGAGTCGCTCTTTGACAACAGGCTATGTACGTGTGGCACCTCGGACTCCGACGAAGGGAGGTACATTGAATACATCCGGGTGAAGGGAAGTAACTACCACCTCTCTGATAACGACGCTTCTGACGTGGAGTAGTTTTCACCTGAGGGCACTTCCGTTACTGAGTTGAATGTGAGGAGAAGGCCAGCGTTTGGTCATCGCCCCGCCTGCAAGCTGAGTCTCCCCACAGTCCTTCCAAATGACTCCATATTCCAGAAGACTTGATGAGGAGAAAAAATACAACCATGGTGATGTTTATTTTCATACACAGAAATGTTTAAAAAAAAAAAAACACATTTTTCTTAAGCAAATGTGTATAACCCCTTCCTGAGACAGTCTAAACCTTACTGTTGTATCCAGTGATGTCAGTGGGACCCCTTTCTCCTAAAACCATACACAATTATTAGTGGCAATACAGTCAGTGGTAATCTAGGCAGATTATATATGTAAATTTATAAAGGATTATTTTAAATGATCTAAAGATATTTAATGTCAAAGCATGGCCTATTGGCCCTAAATTTTCAGAACAAGTAGTGGCTTTCCTATGATTGGTACAAAGTGAATTCTGTCTAAACTTCCATCCAGAAACTCAGAAGTCCTATAAGGACACAGTTGTCCCTCTCTCCTCCGGATTCCAGATGTTGGCTTCTCCAACACAGATATGGAAATTCCCTCACAGACTGAGTACACAGGATCTTTTGAACATTATCCAAAGCAGGCCTTTTAAGGGTTATTTTCATACTTTTTTGCATCGGTGATGAGTATATTTGCAGAGATACGCTAGCATGTTTTGATAAGTATATTTTATTGTCCAGGTATGAAAGAACAGATTTTTATATACCCTGATTTGTTAGTCACTTAGGAATGCAACTGTAAATGTGAAGCAGTGCCAGGTCAGTTTAATCCCGCCGGACTCCCCACGTTGTCACCCCGAGCTCCTGCTGTTCCGTGCCTTCCTGGGGGTTAACCAACAGCTGCTGGAGGATGGGTTTTCTCTTTCTGATATGCAAGAGGAAGGAAGTCAGTGGCAGAAACAGTTAATAACATTGAATTTCCATCCTAGGACTTCTTTCTCCAAATGTTTCGTTGGCTCTTCCTAACGACAGGAGCATACCTCACTACCAGTTACTAGTATTTTCTCCCCGAGAACGTAAGCCAGTTTTAGTTTATGTCCTCCTCTCATTCCTAATAATTTGCTACACAACCAAAATGCAGAGCTGTGTCTGCCTTTTTGTTTGTTTGTTTGTTTTTGCATTTTGTTTGTTTGATCTCATACTTGGTTTGGTTTTCTGTCTGCTCTGAGAATTGAGATCTCTCCATTGGAAAGGCATAGATTGGTTCTGATGCCCGTCAGGAAACAGGTTGACTTTCTATAGCACCTCGCAGTGTTTGGTGGTTTCTATGTCATTCAACACTGAATTCCTAATTCTCTCCACTGTTCTAAGAGGGATGTGGTACGAAACAAAATTACTTGCTAACAAATCTCACTTGCTAGTTCTTGTAAAGTTATAGATGACTCATGACCAGTCAGGAATACCTCGGCTTGAAGCTTCACATTGTGATCTAAACATCCAGTTAGTTCTAAATCCAAGTGAGTGATAGCTAATTGAAAAAATGGAAGTGTTTTGCCAGTCTCCAAAATGTCCATTCTTTTTAAAAGTCTGGCTTCTTGTTACTGTAACTATCAAACTGAGACCATATCAAGAAAGTTTACCATCCAGTCACCAAAAGTTCTTACTCAGTCACTCTTGTGCCCTAAAAAAATCCTTCAGCCAAAAGCGGAGGTTTTCTCTGTTTGGTTATTTAATGTCATTAAAAAACTAACATAGAATTTTGGAAAATTTTTCCTCAAATTAGGTGCTTTGAAATTTATTTATAAAGAATATTAGTACTGATTTTTTTCTCTAGAAGATATTATTTAATAGGATATATTATTTGATATTTCTTATCTTTTAAGATGTTTCTTAACTCAATAGCATTTTACGAGATCAAATGAGCTATTACGTGGTATAGTTAGCAAATTATAGGAAGAAAAAATGAGTAAAGTGCTCCTTTTAAAGTATATTTTACTGATTTGTCCAACTTGTTGCCTCAATTTTTCCCTTCATGGCCCATGCCGCCTTAAGTCCACAGGTGTCTGCAGCTGGGCTGGCACAGGGACCTTTATTGAAGGGACAGCTAGACTCATTGGTCCTGAAAGCTGACTGTGACGTGTTCCTGACATAAAAATACATATGCTTTTAGGTTTATGTCCACAAATTAACCTAATTATGGGAAATCGTCCACATTTTTCTTTCCCTGTTCCCTTCATCATTTCTAAAAATTATTTGTTATTTACATAGTAGCAGTATACCATACCTTTAACATACAAAACAGAAAGGCCACATATAACTTTTAAAAAGCGTCTCAATACTTGAAAAGGAGCCTTCTCTAATCTAGGTCTGATTTTTAGGTTTGGTGAACATTTATAATACATTAAAAGTTCAATGTTGGAATTTTTCAGATTTTTATCCTATTAAACATCTTTTATGTTCTTAGTGAATTCGACTACCACTATCAATCTGAAAACCACCCATGTGAAATCATCATATATAAATTCTGTAAGACAATTTCTATATGATATGACTTGATCTCACACATTGAAAAAGGTTAATCAGTGTAATTTCTACTTCGATGATCACTTTCTTTCCAAACATGCTGCAAATTCAGTCCAGGTGTATTTCATTTGGGAATATGGGTTTAAGAAGATCATGATCATACCAGCCACCTAGCTAGGTGGCTAATGTGCAGGAGAATTAAGAATGCATATTTTTTAATACATATAAGCACACATTGTTGAACATGTTGTCAAATAGACTTGATGCTATGGGCTATGGATACAGTTCACTGGCAGAGTGCTGGCCTGAAAAGAGTGGGTCTTGATATTTTTTCCTTCCATGTAAACATCTGTAGTAATTTTGATCATTACACCTACTTTAGTCATTATCTAAAATATGGCTTTGAATATGTGTAGAATATCTAAATAAAAGATGTTTCCAGGAGAATAACACTAGATCTTTTTAATAACTTATGAAAGAAACCCACATTAAGATACAATCTTAATTCTTATTGTTCCCTCAAAGGCAGGAGATCAGTGAAAGCACTGAATTTATGGATCTTCCTATAATCTTAGTGTCCATTAGAGGGAAAGACCATCAAAAATTGATGACTGACCCATTTAGTTTTTAATACCAAAGTAAAATTGAAAAGTATTGTTAATAATCATATATCTTGGGGCAGAAGTGAAGTGGAATTTTAGACTGCACTACCCACATTTTTTTTAAATAACTGGATGTGGTAAAGTTTCAGTTATCAAGTTCAAACCATTCCCCTAACTAGGAACAAAAGGATTGCATAGCACAACCAGGCCAGGAGTAGAGGATTCCTGATATATGCTTTCTAGAAAACTGTATGACGTCCTACCTTAAGCTGCAAAGTTATAGATGCAATTTACAGTTCAAAAATAGCTACTGCCTATAAAAGACTCAGAATTGTTCTCTGGGTTAATTCTTAATGTCCCTTGGCCTGCCAATTTCTACCAACCCTAGCCTCGTGCACAGTAAGGCTGTACAGTGTAAGTGCATTCAGTTCTACAAGGAGAGCGCTTGTACTGCCATCTTCTGGAAACAGTGATCTGCTGCAAATGCCAAACAGCTAACTTCTCAGCTCTTCCTTGTAAGCTGTTTAGGGGAGGAAATGTATATGTGCCAATAAACATCAGAGAGTTGCTTTATGAGTATTCATGTTCGGAAGTACCAGGAGGTATTTTATCACCATCATAATGTGCTTGTGAGTACAGAACAGTATAATGCTCTAAATCTTCATATGTGTACAGTACAGTCTACAGCACTTTAGTAATTGGTCAACAGGCTTTTCAAGGCCTTTGTTTACAGGTAATATTCACATTTTAGACAATTAGGTACATAGAATTGATTTTGTCATATCAATATAAATAGAAAATAAATGGACTGTGCAGGTAATCAGTACTCAAACTTATGAATAGATACTTTATAAAGTTTTGAGATTTTGCTAAATTTAACATCCCATCTCACTTAAAGGATAGACAATATAATGTTAAATCTAGCCAAAGTAGACATTTATGACCTACATACATGTCCAGATTCTCTGGTGGCTCCTGTACTGTGTCTCACTTGATGTTACAGTACTGTCTGTGATAAATGTTCTCATTTCTATTTAGGAACTCTAAATATACATCTCTATTAAATCAGGAGTTTCATGCTTTTAGAGGTGTATGTATTTTGAACTGTACATTTTAATTTTCAGAGTGCATGTTATATACTGTTTAATACTTGACAAATCTTGGAAAATTTAGTCCTTTCATTCCTACGTGTGACATACAGACTATCTCTTGAAAACTGCCACTGTCCCATTTACCAAATCATGCTAGCCTATGCTGTATCAAAACTATGGTATATTTTATGGAGATTTAGTGATATACATGTAAATGTTTTTAAGTTATTTTATTGAACTTCAATATTTACATGAAGTTACAATCTTTTTTTAAAGAAAGTGTCAGTGCCAGAACTGTATAAGAAAACACTCAAATAAAAGTAAAGATAATTCATTCTCTTGTTCTCTTTACCTCTTCAGTGCTTACCTTGGATTTTAGTATCTAGGTTGCAGAGTAAACACTTTGTTAGAAAGATAAACAAGCCATATTGTTGGGTTTTGTTAATTTTAATTTTATGTGTTTGAGTCTTTTGCTTCCATGTAGATCTGTGCACTATTTGCATGGCTGGTGCATGTGGAGGCCAGAAGAGGGCATCAGATCCTCTGGAACTGAAGTTACAGATGGTTGTGAGATAGCATGTGGTTGCTTGTAAGTTCTCTGAAGAGCAACCATTGTTCTTAAGCACTGAGCCATCTCTCAGCCCTTCTACTGTATTTTCTATCAAAGGCTTGAATAATGCAAAATCCATCAACAACAACAATTGTAAAGAAGCTTTTTGGCAAATACTCAAATCCCTACATGGTCAACACTTCCTGAAACCAGTATCTGTGCTCCTTTCATTTCTCCCAAGAACTGTGCTGTTCTCTATTGGCCAATCACATAAACACATATTGCCAATCTGACCACTCAGAGTGCAATGCAGTAGGAGGAAAATCTCCGTGGGACTCCCTCTGAGTGGACTTGCCTGCTTGCCAACAAAGAGTGGCTACACACCCTTCTGAAGAAGTAAATCTTTTTGCCTTGCCAAAAGACTTGGGATTGTGTGGTCATTTTCTTGAGATCCCCGCCCTCATCCCAGACCCATTTATTATAGCTTAGCACCTAACCTGAAGCTCTCTGCAACCAAAGGTCCAAAAGAGTGTTTCCTATCCCAGGAGGTGCACCCTGCTGCTTTGTTTTGGCAACCCTAGATATGGAGGTATCGCCTTGCTCTAAACTGAGTGAAACCCAAAAAGTAGATGAATGATGCAGACAAAAGGGCCCAAAGTAATCACTGGGGCAATGAGATAGTGTTGTACACAAGCCAAGCTTTTAACAGAATGGCTTAAAGAAAGGTAGCTCCCCCTTTCCAGGATACTGTGCCTTAGCCAGTAGGAGCATTGTGGAGTCCCCTTTCCTGACCTTCTATGCTGGGATTGTGTCTGCCTTGAACTTGCCTCTGTCTTGTACATGCTGTCATAATGTCTGCACTTTGTTGTGTCTAGAAAGCACTGTTTTCTTGACATCATCCTCTCCCTCTGGCTCTTTCAGTGTTGCTGTCCTTGTTTCTGAGCAGGTCCCTGAGCCTCTGTGGGAGAGATGATGTGTAAGCACCATTTAGGATTGACGTCTGGTGGGTTGATCACATTGTGGGGCTGGTCTTGCTCCCACAGCACACACTGGACTGGATAGGGTAGGGGAGGACTCAATATTCAAGTTTGCTGGGACCGTGTTGATGTCCAAGGGCTGCTCAGAGCTGGCCCCACCCCTCCCAGCTGCAGCTCAGTGGAGCCAGCCCTGAGGGCATAAGATCAGAAGATGGAGAGCTGGTCCTTTCCCTCATGTGCCTTGAGGTGGCATGGGTAAGGGAGAGATGCCCTTGCCCCTCCTAACCCCTTGCTACCTGTGGCAGGCAGAAGAGCTAGTCCTGGGATCATGAGAGCTAGAGAGCTGTCCCAGGCCCTCACCTGCTCTAGCAGAGAGTAGGCCCTGTACCTCACTTGAACAGCAAAGTAGAGCTGGCTCTGGTGGTATGGATATTAGGATGGTCTGGCAAAGTTACAAGGCTAGTTCACAAATCATGCCATGTGACTGGTTCCACATGGGAGGTTTATCAAGGGATTGGGTCACAGAGACCGTCTCTAGGTAGGTCAAGAGAGAGAGAGGCAGGGTGGTGCAAGTTCTCTTATAAGGTGACCCAGACCATGAACAGGTGCTTTCAGGTGGTCTATGGGTAGTCCATAGGTGGCCTCATAGATGCTTGATGTCCGGTTTGTCAGGTCCCTCAGGGATGGCTGTAGAGATGCCTGCTTACAGATCCCAACATTCCTCCCTTTTTGTTTTATTAAAAATTGGGGAGCCAGGAAGGGGGTGATGGTGGAGAGGGCATAGAGACCACCTGTGCTCTTCAAGCTACTTCCTGCTGCTTAGGGGCATTGCATTCTCAGGGTATAGCTGGTCCCCACCATCAGCATTGATTGGAAGGTCAATGTCCTCTGGTTCTGTGGGCAGAGGTTGATAATCCTGTAAGAGTAACTAATTAATGGTTTGGTTAGAGAATTTTTGCATTTGTTGTTGGAGGAATGTAAAGAGGAAGTTAATAAAGCAGGGTGCAAAAAGCAAAAGCAGAAAGATGAGCAGAAAAGGTGTGAGGAAGGGCAGAATCACTTCCATATGGGGTTCTCAAAGACCCAAGAGCAAGAGGCCTCACACTGTTCCCTTTGCTTTTGTAGATTTGTCTGGAGTTGTTGGATTTTCTCTTTTACTCTACCCAATTGGTTGACATAAAAACAGCATTCGTCCTGGAGGAAGATGCAAATGCCACCTTCTTTAGCTGTGAGGAGATTTAATCCTCATTGGTTTTGAAGTATTACTGCTGCCAGCAAGTTGATCTGCCCTTGGAGGGTTAGTATTGTCTGAGCCACTTGCTGGAGATCCTGGATGAACTGGGAAGAAAGCTGATAATACAAAGTTAGTGAGGTGGCTAGTCCTGCTGTTCCTGTTCCAACAGCTGTCATGATTCCTGCAACAGTCAAGAGGAGCAAGATTTGAATTGCCCTCTTATCCTGCTGGGCAGCTATTGAGTCCATGGCCAGGACTGATAGGGGCTCCTTTTCATTTATCACCCCAAGCTTCGGAAAGAGGAGCACCAGCGTGCAAACTCCAGACCAACCAGCAGGCTAACAATGGTAGACCGGAGTACCACAAAGAATCAAGGTATTATTAGCAGTAGGGCATTGCAGCTGAGATGAGGTATGAAGGATTGCAGTTTTATTATCATCTAAGGAATTTAGCATTCCTAGAGCGTGTCCCAGATGCCTTGAAATAGCTTGCCATGCCAAAGAGGGTGATATGAAAAAGGTAGGGGGTTGTGGCAACATCAGAGTCAGTGCAGTTAGTGAATGGTGAAGTAAGGGTACTTGACAGAGTCACCAGAGAAGCTGTCAGCAGTAGTTCTGACAGTTCTGTCCCAGGTGGGATACACAGCCAGCAAGCTTTAAAACGGCCGGGTTGGGTGACATTAAGGAGCTTGTAGTCTGAGTTCAGAGTCTGAAGTAGGAGACGAAATGACAGGTTTGTATTATTTAGAAGGAGGGATGTCAGAGAGGCAATGACCTTGAAGGAGTGTTTAATTACCTTCTCTACTTCTCCGATCCCCAGGGATTGGGTAATTGGGACATATTTTCTCTGGATATGGATTGTACTTATCGGTAAATCAGGTGTGTAGTGACAGTAGCATTTTCCAACGACGCGTGTTTCCCATCTGGGATCCCAAGGGTCTCAGATATGTAAGTTAAGCGTCTTTTTAAACAGGTGAACCAGCTTCTTCTGTGTTGGTGTGTGGATTTGGCAAGACCAATATGGGCAGCCTCCATGGACCATATCTGTCCAGCCATTTTTTACAATAATCTTTTGTTTGATCAAAGAGGAAACTAACAAAAATGCTATCAAATAAGAAAGGAGGGATAGATATGCGGGTGATGGCTATTTCAATCGGCTCCTGATAACCTCCTATAGAGCAATTTTCCGACCCTATTTGGAGAGACTGTTTATTATCAATGATGGTTTCTTAAACCTCAAATCTCCATATGTAGGGATTACCTTAGACAGAAATAGGCAAGAGTAAAAATACATATCCAATCCAGTAGGGTCGAACCTCATTTCTCTGGAACCGGAGACAAGGCGGTTGATCTTGGTGTCTTCTGGAGCTTGAGGGAGCAGGGTCCAGCTGGAGTTGATATGTAGGAGGGGGCATTATCTTGGAGGGCGTGGTAAAAGGCTTGAGGTGAGATAGATGAATCCAGTGAGGGAAGCCCTCAAGCTTAGCAGTTGTGGGGATCACAAGAATCACCTTGAAAGGGCCCTGCCATTTAGGAGAGATGGGGGGCTTTGGTCTAGAGGGAATAGAAGGACCTGGTCCTCAGTACTAATAGGAGATGGACAAGGGTTAGTGTGTGGCCGTGGTAAACAGTGGTCAGTAAAGTTCCATAGAAGAGAACAGAGATGACAGAGTAAGGGAGTAAGTAGGTGGTCAGGGAGAGGCAAGGATTTAGCTGAAAGATCAGGAGTTAGAATGGGTCTTCCATACATGATCTCAAAGGGGGAGATAGAGGACTTCTGGGGAGAGCTTGTAGCCTGAAAAAGGCCAGGGGGAGAAGTTTCATCCAACCAAGGTAAAACCCTTATGATAGTTTAACAAGAGTATTTTTTAAGGATGGTTAATTCGTTCTATCTTTCCTAAGGACTGGGGATGGTATAGGAATATGAAAATACCAAGGAATGTTAAGGGAAACCTGAGAAGTGAACTCAGGACCATTGTCTGACTGGAAAGAGGCAAGGATTCCAAAACTTGGCATAATCTCACAGAGAAGGAGATCAGAAACTGAGCTCTTTTGTTAGTAGGGAGGAAAGCCTCCACCCATCCCAAGAATGTATGCACCAAGACCGGGAGGTACCAGACACATTTGATTGCTGGCATGGGGGTAACAATCAAGTTGCCAGTTAGTCCCAGGGAGAGAGCCTCTAGCCTGGTGGGTAGGGCAAAGGGAGCTACAATATCCTGAGTTAGGATCTGAGGTCTGGCAAATCTTATAAGAGGCGGCAATAGTCTTTAGGAAACGCAAGTCTTCAGGGGTGGGCTGCAGGTGAGTCTTGACAAAGTTAGACAAGGCTTGACTGTTAGGATGAAAGAGCTGGTGTAGATAGGACAGAATCTGACGTGTCAGGAGATGACAGGGGAGATATGGGTTGTAGTGTAAGGATGTCCTGTGGTGGATGAGGCGAGTCTAGGCCTTTAAGGCCGCAGCCTTAGCTGCCTCGTCAGTCCCGTTATTTCCTTTGGAAACGATGGAACTGTCCATCCGGTGGGACCGGCAGTGGACTGTTCTGATGGTTATGGGG